TATTTTAAAAATGAGTAAATAAAAATGGCTGGGAATGTAGTCAAATATATATACACGCACATACAGAAAGACCTGGGAATTTCATTTCCACTCTGTTAATTTTTGTCTACAGGGTGCAGGAGAGAGGCAGGAGCTGGTCGGAGAGGCCATTAGGAGAAGCCATTCTACCCGACATCTGCGTCTATTCACTTATTCAGTCCTCACACCTCTTTCAGGGATAGATACTAGTATTTCCCCCTTCYAGACGGGAAGCTGAGGGCCACAGGGGTGAGTCGCCACCCCCTGGAGGTTTGTGAAGAGCACTCAACAGCGGGTGCCATGCGAGGCACGTAGTCAGTGTTCAGCGAACAGTGTGTGTCAGGCTGAGGCTGAGATCCCACCTCTGGCCTGGGCTCCCCGTTTCTTGGAAGTGTCCCCCRTGGGTCCCCCTCCCAGCCCTCCGAAGACATCAAATCTACCCAAACCAGGATTCCCAGCTGCAGGGCAGGGGCTCCTCTTGGTGCCCCCTGCAGGCAGCTCCACCTGGCCACTCAACCCAGAGGTTCCAGCTGGTGCTAAAAATAGGCTGTTTCCCGGAGGCTCCAGCTGGGACCCAGACAGTGATGGCTAAAGGCTGCACATCTGTGGTCCGTGGATTGGTCTCCCCATTCTCTTGGGCAGACTTTTTGGGCAGAGAGAGGAGAGAGAGAGAGAGAGAGAGAGAGAGAGAGAGAGAGAGAGAGAGAGACTTGAAGAAACAGAGACAGAGACCCAGGGTAGAGAATGGCGATGGCCCCGAGGCAGGACAGTCTTTGGATTCCTTGGATGACAGTGGACTGTGGAGCCCCAGAGCCACCCAGCCCTGAATGACAGAAATCCTGCCTCCACAGAGCCCTGAATCTGCAGCCTCCCGAGGCCGTCACCTGAGTGTGTTGGCAATGGCATGAAGCCATGGGTGGCTCGGGCAGCATCTTTTCTCCTGCTCCCTGTCCCCTGCCTTCCCCCGCCCCCCTGCCAGCTGCTAAGGAGCCCATTTGGCACCCACTCAGAGCAAAGCTGTGTCGGAATGTAAAGGAACCAGGGAGCCACCAAAGAGGCCAGACCACAAATAGTGTCAGAGGCACGGAGCCACAGGGACCTCCGACCGGCAGCCCACGTGCAGATGTGGCCATCCGCCCCAGGGCTCCTCCGTGTAGGCTGCAGGGGGAGAGCGGGGTGGGGGCTTTCTCTGAGCATCCCCTCTGCCAGACAGCCTCCTGCCATTTTTTAGAGCTAGTTTTTTTGGGGGGGTACCAGGGATCGAACTCAGGGGCACTCCCCCTCTGAGCCCCATCCCAGCCCTATTTTGTATTTTCTTTAGAGACAGGGTCTCCCTGAGTTGCTTAGGGCCTCACTGTTGCTGAGGCTGGCGATCCTCCTGCCTCAGCCTCTTGAGCCACCGTGCCCAGCCTCCCTACCATTTTCTTTCAATCCTTTCACAATTTAATTTTTAGGGCTGGGATCCTTTGGCTCATTTTACAGCAGGGGGACCCCAAGGGTCAGTGAGCAGCGCTGACTTGCCCAAGGCGCTCGGCCAGAAGGGCCTGGGTTTGAACCCAGAGCGGCTTGTGCCCCGGGGCTCAGGCTCCAGCCGAGTGTCTGCAGAAGCCAAGGTGACCCGTCCCCTCCCGGCTTCTTCTGCGGAAAGATCTGGCACGTGGGTGGCGTCTGGGGACACTGGGGATATTGCACATCTCCAGAGTGGCCCGGATGGCGAGATCCTGGTCTTTCTGAGGTGTGGGTGACGCAGGCCAGACCCCACCCGGCCAGGCACTGCCAGGCTCCCTGAGCTCGCTCGGCCCTTTGTCCTTCACCCAGAGAATCTCTGCTCCTCTCTGGAGACCGCTCTTCTTTCTTTAGAGCTGCCCTATCAAAGACTTTGCCCTGGGGAAGCCCGTCCGGGTCCCCCAGGCCATTCCAACCCTCACTGCTCCAACACCCACCTTCCAGGGCTTTCCACAGCAGGGCCACAGCCTCCTGAGATTTGAAGGCAAAATCTGGGAATTGATGGACAAAGGCCCTTGTCTGGACACGTGGCTCTAGTTGTCGTCATTTTCAAAGGGGTAGAAAGAAGGCCGTGGGGAGGAAGATGGGCTTTGCAGTCGGGTGGCCCTGAATCTGCAGCTCAGCGGCCACTGTCAGCTGTGTGGCTCTGGAGGAGTGACTCGGGCTCTCTGACACTCATTCCCCAACCACGCAAAGCAGAGACAGCTCGCCCACGTGGAATTKTGACAGGGATTCGCCAGTGAAGTCCCAAGTTTTCAATTCTGAGACTAGTTCAACAAAAGTGACACTGGTGCCTTCAAATAAGCTGGAAATGACTATCCAGAGCTTACACAGATATGATATTAACTGATCTTATTACATTATGATTATTGCACTCTGATGGGATTAWATTGTTGTTATTGTGATCTCTTCACATGTTCTGTAAGTTCTAACGGGTGTCTCACATCAGGGATGATGGGACCAATGGATTAAATCAGAGCACGCAGCTGTGTAGAAGGAACAACTTATGGCACATATCAAGTGCTCAATAAACATGATTAATGTTCAGTGCTGCTCTCCACCATGGTATTTGTCCTTGTCTATCTGGAATGGTCACTATTTAAATGGCCTTATCCCTTAGTTGACTCTGGATTCCCTGAAAGCAGACTCTGAGCTACTTAGTCCTCATTCCTAGCTCACACATAGTCGGCAACCAGCAGGCATTTTTAAATGATTGGGAGGAAAGTGGATGCCTGGGTGGACAGAGATGGTGGATGTTTGGATGGATGGGTGGATGGGTGGATGGGAGGATGGTGTGATGGATGGATGGATGGTTGGATAGATGGTGTGATTGATGGATGGGTGGATGGATGGATGGGAGGATGGTGTGATGGATGGATGGGTGGATGGATGGATGGATGGATGGATGGGTGGATGGATGGGTAGATGGATGGTTGGATGGATGGATGGATGGGTGGGTGGATGGATGGGTGGATGGATGGATGGGTGGATGG